ATCCCCCACGGACCCCCTGCAACAGACGCGTCCCCGCCAGGCCTGGTGGCGCCCGCCCCCATCGGCCCTGAGCTGCCCCTGCAGACGACCCGCTGTCGCGCACGTTCCGGTGGCAGATAGACAACTTCTCCAAGGTCACAGAGCGCAAGATTTACTCCAAGCCCAATTTCGCCGTCGGAGGGTACAACTGGTGCGTCTCTCTCTGGGTGTGGGTGTGGGTGGTGGGTAGCGGGTGCGTCCCCCCTTCTTCCACGTTCCGGTGGCAGATAGACAACTTCTCCAAGGTCACAGAGCGCAAGATCTACTCCAAGCCCAACTTCGCCGTGGGGGGTTACTACAACTGGTGCGTCTCTGGGTGTGGTGTGGGGTGGTGTGCTGTGTATGGGAGGATGGCTGTGGTGGTGGGAAAAGGGGATTGGGGGTGACCGCGTGAGCAAATGAAACAAAGAATCCAAAGCTACCTTGTTCCTGATGTCCGTGTCTCTCTCCTTCCACCACCACACCAGGCGACTGACTGTTGATCTTTCCACGTGGCAACACCCAAGCGGAGCAGCTGTCAGTGTACCTTGACGTGGCAGATGCTGCCGGCTCTCTGCCGCCCTTCCTGTTTACCCTTCATGCACTGTTCCGTTTCCCTCCCCTCTTTCTCTTCCCTCTTTCCTTTCCCTCCCCTCCCTCCCTCCCTCGTCCGTCTCTTCCTCACCCACTCCCCTTTCTCAATTCCTTCCCGCTTCCCTCCCCTCTCGTGTCTCTCTCCTTTCCCCAGGCGACTGTTGATCTTTCCACGTGGCAACACCCAAGCATAACAGCTGTCAGTGTACCTTGACGTGGCAGATGCTGCCACTCTGCCTCCCCCCCTCCTTATGCACCGTTCCGTTTCCCTCCCCTCTTTCTACTCCCTCCCTCCCTCCCTCGTCCCTCTCTCCCTCACCTCCCTCCCTCCCTCCCCTCCCTCAATTCCCTCCCCGCTTTCCCTCCTCTCGTGACTCTCTCCTTCCCCAGGCGACTGTTGATCTTTCCACGTGGCAACACCCAAGCAGAACAGCTGTCAGTGTACCTTGACGTGGCAGATGCCCAAACTCTGCCGCCAGGCTGGACCAAGAGCGCGCACTTCGTGCTGTGCCTGATCAACCAGTACGACCGCAAGATGAATGTGCGCAGAGGTACGAGATGGGATGTAGGGTGAAGAGGGAACGTTAGGGAGAGATAGAAAGAGGGAGAGGGCAAAGGGCGCGCACCCGTGCTGTGCCTGATCAACCAGTACGACCGCAAGATGAATGTGCGCAGAGGTACGAGATGGGATGTAGGGTGAAGAGGGAACGTTAGGGAGAGATAGAAAGAGGGAGAGGGCAAAGGGCGCGCACCCCGTGCTGTGCCTGATCAACCAGTACGACCGCAAGATGAACGTGCGCAGAGGTATGGAGAGGGGGTGGAAGGAGAGGAGGGAGAAGTGCGAGGAGAGGATATAGGCGACGGACCAAGAGCCACACCCCCCAGGGCAGTGTTCTTTTGCTGTTCGCTCCTGTCCTCTCCGTATCCTCTCCTCGCACTTCTCCCTCCTCTCCTTCCACCCCCTCTCCATACCTCTGCGCACGTTCATCTTGCGGTCGTACTGGTTGATCAGGCACAGCACGGGGTGCGCGCCCTTTGCCCTCTCCCTCTTTCTATCTCTCCCTAACGTTCCCTCTTCACCCTACATCCCATCTCGTACCTCTGCGCACATTCATCTTGCGGTCGTACTGGTTGATCAGGCACAGCACGGGGTGCGCGCCCTTTGCCCTCTCCCTCTTTCTATCTCTCCCTAACGTTCCCTCTTCACCCTACATCCCATCTCGTACCTCTGCGCACATTCATCTTGCGGTCGTACTGGTTGATCAGGCACAGCACGAAGTGCGCGCTCTTGGTCCAGCCTGGCGGCAGAGTTTGGGCATCTGCCACGTCAAGGTACACTGACAGCTGTTCTGCTTGGGTGTTGCCACGTGGAAAGATCAACAGTCGCCTGGGGGAAGGAGAGAGTCACGAGAGGAGGGAAAGCGGGGAGGGAATTGAGGGAGGGGAGGGAGGGAGGGAGGTGAGGGAGAGAGGGACGAGGGAGGGAGGGAGGGAGTAGAAAGAGGGGAGGGAAACGGAACGGTGCATAAGGAGGGGGGGAGGCAGAGTGGCAGCATCTGCCACGTCAAGGTACACTGACAGCTGTTATGCTTGGGTGTTGCCACGTGGAAAGATCAACAGTCGCCTGGGGAAAGGAGAGAGACACGAGAGGGGAGGGAAGCGGGGAAGGAATTGAGAAAGGGGAGTGGGTGAGGAAGAGACGGACGAGGGGAGGGAGGGAGGGGAGGGAAAGGAAAGAGGGAAGAGAAAGAGGGGAGGGAAACGGAACAGTGCATGAAGGGTAAACAGGAAGGGCGGCAGAGAGCCGGCAGCATCTGCCACGTCAAGGTACACTGACAGCTGCTCCGCTTGGGTGTTGCCACGTGGAAAGATCAACAGTCAGTCGCCTGGTGTGGTGGTGGAAGGAGAGAGACACGGACATCAGGAACAAGGTAGCTTTGGATTCTTTGTTTCATTTGCTCACGCGGTCACCCCCAATCCCCTTTTCCCACCACCACAGCCATCCTCCCATACACAGCACACCACCCCACACCACACCCAGAGACGCACCAGTTGTAGTAACCCCCACGGCGAAGTTGGGCTTGGAGTAGATCTTGCGCTCTGTGACCTTGGAGAAGTTGTCTATCTGCCACCGGAACGTGGAAGAAGGGGGGACGCACCCGCTACCCACCACCCACACCCACACCCAGAGAGAGACGCACCAGTTGTACCCTCCGACGGCGAAATTGGGCTTGGAGTAAATCTTGCGCTCTGTGACCTTGGAGAAGTTGTCTATCTGCCACCGGAACGTGCGCGACAGCGGGTCGTCTGCAGGGGGCAGCTCAGGGCCGATGGGGGCGGGCGCCACCAGGCCTGGCGGGGACGCGTCTGTTGCAGGGGGGTCCGTGGGGGATTCGGCTGGAAAACCG